TAATTTTGCTAAAATTGAAAATTATAATAAAACATGTGGCCACAGATCTATACCGGTCTCACAATTTTTGTTGTTGCAACAATAAGTGTACATATTTAATAGAATTGTGTTTAATTTGGCCAGTTATGTCCTTATTCTTAGTTTATTTAGCAAGTAGATGGCGCTATTATTGTATTAAAACTGTGACGACCAATGTCGTGTTTAGTCATTTGTGTCGCCAAACAATCTCTATTCATTGATTTGGTCAAGCTATATCATGATATAGTCAACAAACGCTGTTAAATTTTATGAAATGCCGCCATTTCATTTTCAATAATCGATTAATTTATGATATTATAAATTCTTAGATCTGACCAATACATATATAAAACTCTTTTTATTTAAACTATAAGGATAATAAGAGTTTTGTACATACTAATTGCAATTTTATAAGTTTATTTATAGATAAAAAGCTAATACCTACTAATACTTTTTATAGATTATAAATTAAACTTAGAATCATTTTATGATTTTCGATAGATGTCACTACTATCTATTTAAATAGTAAATAGTCACTATAAAATCTTATATAAAATTTATATCTACTAACATGAAATAACAGAAAATAAAAAATGTACATTAGGATTTCCAAATCAATTATGAACTAAAATAAACAAACAAAACTTTCGACAGAGATTACTAACACCGGTCTAGGAGGTATTAGCATTTAGTACAAGATGCCAGGGATACAACACATATTTTCAAAATACTATTAAATTAAAACAAATATAATATAAATGATGATATAAATGTAATATAATGATTTCTTGAAAACTACGCATTGATAAAACTATTTTTACGGATTTTATCACGATTAATTTCCTTATTTAGCGACGTTTCTTTCCAGGAGATTTGCGCCATTATATTAGATTTGATCGATTACTAATCCTCTCCCATTCCTACCAAGGATAATATGTGAGGCTATTGAAATTAAAAAAAAATCTGAATTTCAATATAGAATGAGGCTGGGCATTACCACCTACATGGGACCCTGTAATTAATAAAAATAAAACTAAAACCAAACTAAAATAAATTAAAATTAAAACTAGACTTACTGTGTCTTGAGGTTTGCACTGCAAAACCTGAAGACACAGTAAGTTCATTCTGCGTAGATCGGACTAAAAGTAATAATTAAAAAGCCGAAGGTACTCCGGACAAAGATATGATATTATCTACTTTTATTTATAATATCTTTTACTCATTCGTAACGTTAGGAATTAAAAATAAGGAAATTAAACGCGATAAGATAGATAAGACTTCAATATAAATAAAATGAGAACATCATCAGTATAGTCGAAGTCAATACAATACGCATTATTAAGGATACTCAACAACTACTGGTCAGTTCTTGATCATATTTATATGTAAGTTGTTTGTAAGTATTTATACACAGATAAAAAAAATTAAATATAATTTTTTAAAGGTGTCTCTTTTGTTTTGTGTCTCGAGTTCAAATTCTTCCAAAACCGACCGAGGGCCAATCTCAAAATTAAAATTCAATCCGGTCTTAATTTTATTTGAATTTTAATGTATAGGTACCTTATAAAGAAAACAGTAGGTAAATATCAATTAACCAGTATGCATTATAGGTAAGTAAATCTAATGTAGATTTAAACATTAAAGTATCATGAATACAAAATTATCAGTTTTGCTGCCAGAGGTCTTTTATGAAATTCCAAAGCGCTAATTAAACGTCACACGGCAGAGAGACATATACAAGGTTACTACTCGCATTAAGTTAATAGCCCATGTCCGCCATTAAACTGATAGTTATCATACATTGTCAACTTAATTTCAGCTTTCAAACGCTTCTAGCAGCTTTTGTTCAAACTATTCAACAAGCAAATTGCAGTGATAATCCTTTTTATTGGTTTGACTATTAATATTGTAAATTTTTTTTCTCCTGATTAATAAAGCGTTTTTGCATCAAGTGACTATGGTGAAGTCTTCAGTATTCATTGCCACTGTGCGGCAATTCTGCAGAACAACAACGTTACACGGGTTTAAATATTTATGTTCCGATTTCTTTATAGATAGGTAAGTGAAGACCTGTGGTTTCTTTCCTATAGGTTAAAAGGTGGTCTACCGTCTACTCAGACGCAGAAATTAGAATATAAGGAAAATCTACTGCTTTGTAAAGAAAACGAGTTAGTATATACGCCTTTACAGAGCTGGACACAGGCCATCTCACAACCTTTTTTTAAGGGGATTTATGCACCAGAAGGGTTTGCCGCGTAGCCCATTGGCTGACTTTATCTATTTTCAAAATATTTATATTTCTCAGGCATGCAGGTTTTGTCGTTATCTTATACCACTGAGTAAGTTAAAATCTGTAAGTTATCACTTAAAAGTTAAAACCCTCTTATAGTACGATGTGTAGGTATCTTAAAAAGTTACTTCGATCTCCACATGTGTTGTGCGAACTAGTGCTAAATCGGGATAAGATTTAGAAATAATCAAATACGTCCAACCTCAATAGGTTTGCCAGATCGAAAGACCAAAATATCTGCACAAATTTTGAAAAAGTCGGGATTTTGGGATTGCTGTCGGGATAAATAAATATTAAAAATAAAAAGTTTATTTTTTAATTAAGAGACTACAAAAAGTACTTTAAACAAAACTAATTTAAGTACACAAAATATTTATGTTTCTCAGGCATGCAGGTTTTTTCGTTATCTTATACCACGGAGTAAGTTAAAATCGGTAAATTATCACTTAAAACCCTCTTGTAGTACGATGTGTAGGTATCTTAAAAAGTTACTTAAAAAGTTACTTAAAAAGTTACTTCGATCCCCACATGTGTTGTGCGAACTAGTGCTAAATCGGGATAAGATTTAGAAATAACCAACTACATAATAAATTAATAAATCGAATACTACTTGGTTAAACTTAGGTGAAAAAAGCTAAAGGACCAGATATGGTAAGGCTTGTGCACCAGAGTTATCTCGTGTCTTTACATGCTTGTTCCAACTCTCATTTAGGACGGGAATAATGGCCAAATCCTGAAAGCTGGCCAATAAGCAGACTGAGCTCAAAAAAGACAGCAATGCCAATTGCTCTATATTTTACAAGATTATGGAGTGTATGTTGATATGCCCTTATGGCATAGTACGTCGAGCAGAACGACCTAATCAGGGACTGGCGTATGGTTTCCGCAATAATAGGTTGAACCTATTGTGTGTGCACTTTGGCTTTGGATTTAATGGAGAGGCGCGTTAAGAGATTTATTGATTACCTCATTATGATTAAAACCAATCTTACCAGTTTTGAGCACAAGCGCAAAGTAGCTCAGTATTCGGTGTTTTAGAGGATATCTTATTTGGAGAGTGTGCACGGGAACTGTTGTTATGATCTCCACGCCTTTGTTATCGACATACTATGCATTCAAAGATGTAGAATATTTTTTTAGCATCTGTCTTTCCATCCGATTACAATTTTCATACATAAATCAATCTTTAAGGCAAGAGTGAAAAGTCTTTTATTAAGCCAAATCGGTACGCATTACCGTTTTGCGTCGGTTATATCACCACTTACTATCAGTTGGGATGGTAGACAAGTACTGGCTTAGAATAGTAAACAAAAAACTAATAAGTTATTTAATTCTTGAAAAAGGATTTATTGATGTGAATAAAATGTATATTTAATTGTGTATTTAGAAAAAATATTACGTCTCAAGATAATCTAGATAGGTGTACTACTTAAGGATGTAAGTATTGTTACGAGCTTGTTATAAACTGCCGATTGAATTACCAAAATTGACACTTTAATTACCGAACACCAGTTACAACTTAAAACACACTAATAATAAATCACTTTAGTTCGCAGTTATATCGCTTCGAAGTATTCGCTTGAATCGCCAATTCAATAGTGACTCAGTCGCGGTCCTTACCAGCCTTATGTAGGCCTCCTCTACTGAAACATCTAGAAAGTTTAAGTACATTCTGGTCTCGACTGAATAGGTGCAGAAAGTTCTAGTATGGGATTTTCTAGAAAGCTCTCCTAGTTCCGCTACTCGATACTAGATGGCGCTAGTGGTCATGTACCAGACATTAATTGTAGCGCGCAACAGTATGTATTTTAATAAATACGTAAGAATTTTTCTAACTCCGTTTGAAGCTCGGTCGACCATACTATCACTTAGTTACCTACAAACTAAGGGGTAATATTATTTATTCTGTGCTAAGGATCCTCCTGAATGTACGTGTAGCAACCACAAACAGTGTGTTGCGATACAGGTCGCAATTTTATTTCCGCCCAGCATGAATTTTTATATGGCCTACTGTCTAGGTGTCCGCGACACAGAAGAAAGTCCTGGTTTGGAGAAGTTCATTTTTTAAAGAATACAGGTGGCCAACGGGAACACAGTTCACTCATTAATAAATACTGTTGAACATATAAATATACGTCTATATTCGGTTAAGAATCAAATAGCAGTCATACAAACCACAGTATCCTTAAGCTGCTATTTCACGCAGGTATTATATGAGAGTGGTCCTTCTCTGGCGAGCGCGGTAGAAGTGAAAGCTTCGAAAGAATGAGACAAATACAGAGTACAACTCGCGGCACGAATGTCTAGCGGTGAACGTTATTGCGGAAAATTGGCCGTATTACACATTATTGATTGGCTGTGCGTATCGTTCTCACGCACTGATTGGCTCTCCCGTCACATTCCGTCCCCCGCACTGATACGAAATTTGCAGCGATCCCTCCACTTTCAGACCAGGAAAATTATTGTGTTTTCACTTGTTTTTATTTTCCACGTTTGATAATTGTATTATATAATATATTATAGATAACGGGAAACACTGTATACTGTATTCTATCCCCCTTCCTTTGCAGGCTGAATCCTATAGACGTATATAGGTTTGTCTCTTTTTCTGTTTCTTTTTTTGTTTCATCAATTTTTAAATATCAACAATTCTAAAGAAGTTTTCACTTCAACAATCGCCAGGGTGGGCTGGATGGTGTGCTGCTGCGCGAGCGCGTGCTGTGCGGGCGTGCTGTGCGCGGTGCTGTGGCAGCGCTTCACTGCGGTGCCGGCACTTATCACGCTGCGGGACCTGAGCTTTGACAAACAAATGATGCATTTATCTATCATCGCCGCATGCCCTTCAGCTGAGAGCATTGCTCAGTTATTCCAGCAGAATTTGTACGTTTTGACCTTAATGAACTATATTTATTTATTTATGTATCCTTTTTTGCAATCTTCGTAAGCTAAGGGTTTCAGCGAAATTCAAAAGATTTAAAAAAGATTTTTAGGTGAAGATTGCTACCACAACAGCCTCTTTATTTTTGCGGCTCACCTGATGTAAGTGATTACCGCCGCCCATAAACAACTGCAACACCAGGAGAATTTTCGGTGCGTTGCCAGCCTTTTAGAAAGGAGTAAGCTTGTAAGTTGCAAGCTTGAAGACCCCTAAGTCGTATCGGTCCGGAAAAATGTGGTAAACACAGAGAAGTAATACGAAGAAGAAAACTCCCAGTAAAACGCACCCGTGACCAAGCAGCCGGATGGTGATGATGGTATCGTGAATTTGTTGGTATTTGGCTACTGAAAGCCTACACGCAACTGCAACCGGCATGCGTATCACTTCCAAGGATAAAGACGGGATTCCTCTGTCTGTAATTATACTGTAGAAGGGCCGTACATATCTAGGACCTAGGTAGGAAAGAAGTTTTACCATTTGGTATAGGCTAGGCTGGATCAGTTTGGGTTTATTTAGAGAGTTATGTTCTCCTATTGAAACCCTTTGCAGACGGTGTTGTAAGAAGGTACTATATATGCCAGATATACATGATATGCCAGAAAAATCTAAAAATAATTTCTCATGTCACCCCTTGCGAGACCCCCGGGACGAAAAGGGTTGATTACACAGATCACAGGCATTATAACAGACTTTCTAACAAAAACCTTACTACAATAATTGACTTATTTCAGAGTTACGGATACGGAGATTAGAACAAGGTTACCGTCAATACTCAACCTCGTGCTTAGTAGGAAGCCTCTAGCTGACAGCCAGGTGACGCTCCTGGACCGAGCTCTGAGCATTAACAACTTGACGCTGACGGAGGCTCTCTTTATACTGGTGCCAGCCTGCGACAGCTTGATACGAACGTGCCGTTGGTTAACCGTGACGCTGCCCTGCGCGGATCTCTTTAATAAAGAGATGACGCAGTGGGGAGTCTGTTGCGTTATGCGACCCAATCAGTAAGTACCTTAACATTTCAAAAAATAGTGGTTTAGTTGGCAAGCACAAACTCGAATAAAAACTATCAACAGTGGATAGAAATTTTTTGGTGTCATTTTTATGTTATCTAATTAATTTATTATAATCTATTTCATATATTTTTCATTATTTATGAACCTTAGTGTTGAAATAAGTACACATAAATACTTTAATTGTTACGCAGTAATCGATAGTTAACCTATGTTGGTTAGTAATCGATTATATATATTAACGGTAGCAAATAAAATAACCAACTGTAACTAATATTTTTTTTAATCAAATTATTTATTAGCATATTTTTATTATAAAATATTTGCCGCAACGGCATTGACCGAGCTTATCTCGGGTCAACAATTTCAGGCAGTACACACTTATTATAAAATGCTTGTAACTTGGCTTGGATAACATATTCAAAATACAAAATTTGTCGTCTTTGTAGATTTTTAGAACTTTTACTGCATAATCTGCGCCAGATGCCAGTCAATATGGCAAGCATGCAGACATTTTTATTCTCCATTATTTTTCTCCAGAGATAGGATACTTCTTTTTTACGTTTAGAGACACATTGATACTTGTGTTTATTTTACCCCATTCGAAAGCTCAGCTACAATCAAAATAACTATAATGAGTTAACTATCTACATTCTACATAACAATGTGTGAACTTTATACTAATTGAAATATACTGTACGAAAGTAAATACAATTAAAAATTCTAGATTCTAGAGAGAGGTCGTAAGCCCAATTACCGATCATGTGGTGCCAGGCTCGAATCCCGGGTCGGGCCAAAATGAGTTGTTGGGTTTTTCTGTCAAGTAATTTTTATTTGCACTACCACACTGCCTGTGTTATAAAGTAGATTCCAATAAATAATCTCAACAGAAACTTAGCCGAAATGCACGGAAACAAACCAATTTAGTTCAAAAATTTAAAGACAATCAGAAAAACTGACTGGGTCAATTTAGTATTATTTTTAAAAGTGAACAATGAGCACATAGTCCAGCGAATGGCGAATATTCTACCATTTCACGTTAGTATTCTGAGTATTGTTGTGGCGGTGTAAGAATGTCCAATACCCCATATCGTCCCCTAGGTGTCATACGAGGTGACGGAAGGAAACTGCAAAAGGAAATATGTGACAGCATCTTCCTGATAAAAACTAAAAATAAAAAAGCTCGCCGTAAACGAAAACGAAACGAAAACGTGGCATATAAAGCAAAATCACCCTATGAGGCAATCTATCTATATTTTGTAAATAACTACTTTAAAAAAATCTATCGTTGCAAGTTTCCTTTTTAGTTTTTCCATTATTGTAAAATCAAATTCTTTCGTATTTTTTACACTGTACTAATTTAAAAATTTTAATATGTAATCTTTAAAACAACGTTATAATAAGAATAAATAATATTAATCGTTATTGGGAGGGCGGGAGGTGCTCTTCAAACTAGGTAAGACACATCATTTTATTTAATTTAGCGAATGTTTGCAAAGTAACTAGTATTAATATCATTTATTATAATGCATTTTCGCAAAGTAACGCCTGATTCTATCAATTATATTATAGTAAGAATGTTGTGTACACCTTTAATTTAAATGGATGTGTATAATGTATTTTCCCAAAAATTGTGATGTCATAAGTTCCTTTTATGTATTTAGTTGGTAAGGCTTATTAAATAAAATAAAAATATGTGGGAAGCCTACGTTCACCGGAGGACATTATAGGCTGTAATTGATAGATGGATGTGTGTTAAGGAGTATGTTAGGGCTGAATCTGAGTGACAGGGTGAGAAATCGTGTGATAAGAAAAGAGTGTGGTTTGCAATGATGATGTTGTGACCAGGATTAAGTAAGGAATGTTTCGGTGGTTTGGTCATGTAGAAGGAATGATCGTATTGTAACGCTTCCCCCCCTCTCATAATAATAAATATGTATGATATTAAATATATATATATTCTAAATGATTTTTCCTAAGGTTTAATAATAGGCCGTTTGTAATATTTTTGGCGTGATCGTCTTAGTTCGGACCCTTATTTACGTTGTGTTTGTTTAGTAACTTAGTTATTTTAAGTGTCTTTTGAAAGAATGAATATTCACTAGAGCAATTGATAGCTGTTGATAGTGCCTTATAAGCTAAGTGAACCCCGTTTACGAAGACAGGGCTTGAGAAAGGTTAAGAACATAAAACGTTCCTATTCCACTTGTATCAGGTTTACATTATTAATTTATTATTATTTATCCCTTCCCGCTTGGAAAAGGCTCACAATATATTTATACAAAATACCCGATACAAGGGCTTCGCTCTCCTACATTTATTTAAAAAAATGTAGGGGAGGCACACGGCTCCACACGCGCACACACTACACACGCCGTACGCGGTGAGCACCAACCATTTTGATGCACTCCCCCCGAAGGGAACGTTAATTCGGGAACTGGACCGTAGTCCACAGCAAAATAACTGGCGAACCAGTAAAAGAGGCTTGGCCCCTTGTTAGTGCGTAAGCACAAACATCGACCGAAGTCGCGCTTGTCAATGCGTGTAAACGCCATACAGAATACGAACGAATCCAGCCACAGTGAATGTACGTCACACGGTTTAGGCAAATAGGCACTCTGGCCGTAAACCCTCCGTGAGCGCCACCACCTGCCAGACCACCGCTCCTGCAGACGTGATGTAAGTATATGGCATCACCACCAGTTGCATGATCAGCACGGCTACTAGCCGCAGAGCGTGTCATAAGTCTGCCGCTCACCTCAAGGGAATGGGGTCCCACGTTTTGCGGCTTTCGGCCGCAGCCTTGAGAGTCTCCTCAGATTCTCCCGCAAGCTACCACCCGCATGAGGTCGACACATATGCTCCACCAACCAATACAACGGCAGATATAGCCAAAAGGCAGTTATAAGATAAGATTAATAATTCGCCATCAGAAGGGATTGGGGCACTGACGTTGAGTAAATGCATTTTCGATCATGTTTGCCTCACCCAACAACAAGTTGCCTTCAATCATTCAAAGGTGGGAAAGTTACAGAGATATATTATTATGTTGTTATATAAAACATCGTGGAGGGCAGACAGTCTGCAGCCCCGTAATGAAGAGACCCGACTTGGGCAAAGCTACTTAGGTGTGAGTCAAACCAAGACTCAGAGAGCGCCATTGAGAATAGCGCCACCAAACAACCATCGCAAAGACTCTATGCTGCAGAACGCAACAAGCATCAATACTACTATCGTCGGGCTTACACCATCCCAAGGTCCCCCATACATCCCAGCAGACATCACCACCCGCATACCTCCATCGACCAGAACCACAAGAATGCGTCGAATCAGGCGCAGCACACCCGCAGATCCATCACAAGACGCAATACCGCAAGAAGCAGTAAGCATCAATGCAACTATCATACAAATGGCGCCCCCTCACAACACACCTCCATGATCCCTATCGACTTTGGTAACAAAGTTTGTATTGTTGTTAACTAAAAAATATCACCAAAGTATCATAGTAGCGCGCTACTAAGATGCCAGTGAACAAAACTCTACGTATCATAGCGCTAATGCACAAAGACACGAAGTTAAGTATGCCTCTTACACTTAAAAGTGTTACCAAACACACTCATCTCAATCCGAAAGATAGACGACGCATCGCTATGCGCTACGACGTCGCCCACAAACGGTATGGGTGTGCGATGTCCACGGGAAAGCCGTATTGCTACAACAAACCCGCTTACCACCGGCACTAAGATGATATGTCTAGGACACATCGGTTAGCGAGCCCAAGTTTACCTCGGACCAATTGCTCGTGAAGCAGCATACACGCCACCATAATAATCCTTTTTCAAGTCCCTAATAAGGACTAGTCATTTTGCTACAGTACTAAGAGCAGTAGGTCACCCGACCACCCCATATAATGCTTATGCATCAAGGAGACCTTCTATAATAATGCTTTTGTATCATAGACCTTACTTTCATAAGTCATTAATATGTAGGACTTCAGCCTACGATTCTACTATTGTAATGCTATTTCATCATAGAGACCTTCTATAGTAATGCTTTTGTATCATAGACCTTACTTTCATAAGTCATTAATATATAGGACTTCAACCCACCACCCCACTATTGTAATGCAAATTCATGTTAAAGACCTTCTATAGTATCACTTTTGTATCATAGAGTTTATTATCATAAGTTCCTAATATAGGATATAGTCATTTTGCTACAGTACTTAAAGCAGTCGGACTCCCGACCACCCCATATATATGTACAACTGCAGGTATGTATCTCCGGCAGCTCCTCCGTACAAGACATCTATACATGAACACCTGACACAACTTAGGAAAATTTTCTTTTATACATGAACTCTTTCCATGACTTTTAACAAATTTTCTAATTATCTTATAAATGTTATTTATCTTTATTTTTATAATATTTTCGACGTGTATTTCTGTTATTTATCATATTTTAAATATTTTTACAATATTTTAAATAAATTAATTTATTATGAAAGACAATATTTTGCCTTTAATTTACTATGTTATTGGTCTAATGTCTGAAATGTATTTATATTAACTTTATGCTTATTAATATAATTTTATTGCTTAATATATATATATATATATATATATATATATTTTTAATACTATTTTGATGCCCCTTTATAATGGATTTAATTATTAATAATAATATTGAGCCGTCACAGTATGAATGAGGAAACAGTGACAAAGCAAATTTATGTTGCAGAAGTAAACGGAAATTGGCGATATATTCAAAATGGACCAAATTAGGAGTACCCTTAACCGACGAGCATGTATGCGCAGGTATATGGATGTGGAGGAGGCGAGACAGGCATGTCAGGATCGTGTAAATGGAAGTCTGTGGTATCCCTACCCCTCTAGGTGACAGGCATGAGTGTTTATGTTATGTTAAGTTTAGTTATGGATGTGTTGAATTATTGGTGCACTTCCCCGGGTACTTACATCGGACACTGACTATAATACTTTGATAAAATTACTAATTAGCATATATGGTTACGGTTACAATCATAACTATACTAATTACATAAGAAGTCCACTGATAGACACAGGGCTCCCCCATATATTGTCTCTATATCTCTTACATAGTTGCCATGCTTGTCAAGCGGGTTATCAACCGCTGTTTTAGTTGTTTAGTTGTAATAAGGAAGACATTGCTGTCCATCCCCTGGCTCATTTCCCTCTGTTACCTCTCACGACATCCACGGGACGATATGGAGTTGTGGGTATTCTCACACTGCCACTAAACGGTACCAGATGATTTATTTTTGCTTATGTTATTGCAGAATACAATTGGCGAAGCCTGTGACGTCGCAACTGCAGATAATAAAGAAACTACATATTGGAATTCAATTATCGAATGAAACGCTCCTTCACGGTTGCGAGGTAAATAAAAATAATTCGCATCGTATAACTAATACTTGGTGGTAAAACTAGACCTAGCAGTTCATCTTGATAGGTCCAGCATCAAAAAAGACGTTACCTCCACATCCACACCAGAATTTTCTCCTGTATCTTAGGAGCAGTTTACTAACTCAAATATCACAAGGGCAAACATCCAGACCGGGAACCCGGCACTATTATTTGTAGGCTAATATTAATACTTCTTCCGTGGTGGATTCAAACCCGCGGCCCTTAAGCACTCCAACTCACTTGTTAAAGTGTTGTTGTATTAATTCAAAAAGCTCCTTAATATGTTTATGTCTGATGTAGGATATGCAAAATATACACTATAATTAAATTTACTATATTTTTCTATCGATCTGAACTGATCGCATCCGTACGGCGCTGAAAGTAGCCAACCGCCCAGGTCGATATGTATAAGTTTTTGACGGCAGCCGAACGACGTTGATGTAATCAGCTCGCATGAGTTCATCCCCAACGGCACCCGAACGGCGTTGGACAACAGTCGAATGTGAACGATGGGTCGATTGCCGAATGAATGTGAACAGCGGTCACGACAGCTTTTCGAAGGAATCGACTACCGACCGCTTGTGAATAGCCGTTGCAACTGCTGGTGCCGAGTAGTGTAGCGATACGCACTCGGCATAAGCCGATTCCGCGTCGATAAATGTGGGGACTCCCCTCAGTGGTGACAAGGTATCTCTAGCCTTCTTTGTTTTAAGTTGACTGCAGATATCCATGGACTGCAATAGCCACTTACCGTCAGATGAACTGTGAGTTCGTTTGTCACTTACGTCAACTATTCAACTGTTTTTAAAAAGAAAAATCTGGCTTGCTCTATAACAGCAAACAGCAGTTAATGTTTGTGCATTTTTAATGGGATGAGAGACTAGGTATCATTAATTTCTCTTAAAATGATTCTAGAATCACACCTTGGTAGGCAGCCTCGTAATCGTAATTATTTCCATTAGATATTCACAGAGTACCCCGGCGAAGAGTTGGTGGAACCGATCTCGCTGATTCCTGGCTACAGTTATTTCGGTTACCTCAAGTTCACGTCAATGGTGGAGAGCAAAGTTGAGAAGTTGGTGAACGATAAGTGTATTTACAGAGAATTATATACAAAGAGAAACTGCTTGGTAAATGTAAAGTTCATATATTTCATCATCATCGTTACATCCTGTCAAAAGTCCATTGATGAAAAAAATAAAGCAATATGTGGTGAGGATCACAAAGATTGCTTCATAGAGGCGATGTTTGTCATAGTTGCCACGCTTGGCAACTGCAGTTTTTCATTTTATAGCCGTTATTAGAAAGACGCTGCTGCGCATAGAATACTATAATACACAATAGCATGGCTGTCAACGTTATTTTGTACGAGGAGAGGCGTCGCCGGGAGCACAAACATACAAGGAATTACGTCGTATTATCACTACTACAAACCCGATTCGCTGTGTTGACAGACAGATTTTAAATACATATTTATTAGTAAATAGCGTGCAATTTGGCATTTCCTAATAATTTGCATGCGAAATATGGAAACGACGTGTGAATTGACGTGTTAGTGACATTTTAGTTGCTACGCGGGCTCCGCCCACTCCCCCGTTCTATTATATATGTAATTATAGTATTCTATGCTGCTGCCCATCTCCTGGTTTATTTTCCTCTGTCGCCTCTTACGACACAACTCGTAACAAGGCGATATAAGAATATCCACTACCCCATGCATATTCTTACACCTTACACCCACACTATGCGGTTAATCAATCAATCAAATCAATTTTTCAATACGTATGTTATAATAATTTACGGTGTTGAATTTCTTAACACATTATAACTAATTGTTCTTCTTCCATTTCAGTTACAATGCATTGAAACAAATTGTGGCTGCTCCGATCCTTTAGAATTTAATGACATTACAAAAACATTGGTTCTCCCCACTTGCACTGTTACGAAAATGAACTGTTTGAGAACGTTTTTACATGGTAAATATTTTATGGTTGTTAAATATTAAGACTACTTCATTGTGGCAAATAATTTATAGAAATCTAAATATAAATAATTTATAGCAAGCAAGAGAGTCCGTTAAAGCAGAGACGGATTAAATATTATCAATTATAACTACGTATTTTGTAAATACGTAGTTATAATGTATGTATGTTTTAATTTGGTATTCAGTGAAAAAAAAACATGAAAGCGGTATCGATAGTCGTGGAGAATCCATCACCGATTAAACACGCCCAAACTATCTTCCGTGGGCGTGGATGCTCAGGCTGGCCGCGTATTATATACCCCATATTATGGGGCGTATTACGGACCATATTATGACCAACTCCGAAACTCATACTACACGAAGCAAACGGAACAAAATCACTAAAGCACACCATGGCACGCTCGCCGTGGATGTCTGCAACATAAGGGGACTTCATTATACCTTAACGCTTTTCACCACCATCTCGATACGCCTAAGCCGACCTTGCTCTTTCTCTCTGGCTGATACATCTTATTTGTCTTACCCAGATAACAAACTGGAATACTCATTTCAGTCTAGGGACGGAATATGTGTGTACGTCAGAGAGGATATCTCGGCGCCTCGGTAGCCTTGAAGGCGGGAACCTATCCATCCTAAGACTACGCATGCCTTTATAGGTCCCACAGCGATAATGCCAAGACAGACCGACTAATCGACCACGTCCAAAACCAAATGGCTTCAGATTCCGTGCTATAACGGTCTCATCAGCAAAGATCGCAGAAGATCGGGAGAAAGATCTCGTGACGCAAGCATCTAAAAGAAGTAAAACTCTGCCCCCAAATCCTTTTAAAGAGTTATCGCTCGAGCGAAGTCGGACAACATTGAGAGAATTGGCGAGAAACTACTTAAAACATTTGAAACTCGTGCATTCTGTTCTGTAATTACCATTTCTACGCAGGGAAAATCAGACAGAGAAAACAGATCTCTTAAGCTTGTTTATTCTACCGGTATGTATTCTACCGCCGACCATTCCGCAGTGTAAATGCTCAAAGGAGCATGTTCGGTTCACACAGTGCTCAGTGCGTAAAGCACTACTGTCCTTGGACGTCCATAAGTGGAGTGGGCCTAATGGAGTCTCCCGATTGTGCTGGAGATGTACGCTCCAGAGTTAGCACCTGTACTTACACGTCTTTTTGGTTCTCTTACTCTTTATGCATCATTCCAAGCTCATGAAAGACAGTCTTAGTGCATCCGATCCCTAAAAGAGGTAAGAGGGCCTCATGAACCTTCATGCTTCGTCTTTAGGGGTCGGGACAGATGTCCAGCTATTGCCATCACCTACTTGTTTTCCAAAATAATGGAATCCATCATTAACTGCCAGCTCATTAGATACCTTGAAGAGCATCAGCTTATTATCTCAGCTAGGGATCTTGTTGTCTACCTGACACACCGAGGGGTTGAGGCAGTCGAAATCGAGTGTAAAGCCCTGGCAGTTAATTTGGACATAGCGGAGGCCTTCCGTTGGATTTGGACACAAAGCGCTTCTTTCAAAACTTCCCTCTTATAGGCTTCCCGATAAATTATGCTATCGGGTCACTAGTTTTCTTACAGATCGGCGTATTAAGGTTGGAGTGTGAATGCTGGTGATGCACAAGACTTCGTGATATCTCCTATCCTGTTCCTTCTGCATATAAATGATATGTTGCATACTAGTAACATTGATTATTAAGCAGGCGACAGCACTAGCAACGCATTATACACCGGTCATGCTAATATTCCTTACCAGCCTTTTAACAGTGGTAGAGCCACGCGGCAGCTTTGATGTTGCACGTATGGGCCGGCTCAAACCGGGGTGGTACCACGACCTCACAGAATACCGGCGTGAAGTGGAAGCTCTGCTTCCGCGTTTCGTCTGGTGAGTGGCCCAACTCCCCCCCCCTCATCAACATGGTAGCGGAATTAAATAATGATAGACTACCCCAGGAGGGTACCAGCACCCCTAGAGAATCCCTCGCTGAGCATTCACTACCATGTTTCTTCACTTCTGAGCATGGGTGCTCAAGCTGCCCGAGTATTTTGGGGGCCACGCGTAGACAGCGACGACCATCCGCGCGTCTACGGGTGCCTCTATAGGTCCCATAGCGGTAATGCCGAAACAGACCGATTCTCTTCGACCAACTCCAAATGGCTGCAGATTCGTTACTACAGCAGATCTCTTCCGCAGAGATCGTGATCCTCGGCGACGTCAACGCCCATCACGGCGAATGGCTTGGTTCACGTTTAACCGATCATGCGGGGAGATCTGTTCATGATTTTGCCTTGGCATATGGTCTGACACAACTGGTTACTTCGCCTACGCGGATTCCAGATGTGGAGGATCATGCACCTTCTCTGTTGGACCTTCTGCTGACCTTTCACCAAGACGGATATCAGATTTCCGTCGACGCCCCTTTAGGCTCCTCGGACCATTGAAACTCACGCTGAAATCGCAGTTGCATTCTGCAGGCTGCCGCCGTGTTTGGCACTATAGGTCAGCCGATTGGGATGGGATGCGGTCTTTCTTTGCATCCTACCCTTGGGGGCGGTTTGCCTCTCACCGGACGATCCCAACGTTGTTGCGGATTCTGTCGCTGATGTGAAACTTCAGGGTATGGAACTTTTTATTCCTTCCTCTGTGGTGCCCATTGGAGGCAAATCTCAGCCATGGTTTGGTCGCTCCTGTAAAATAGCATCATGCTATAAGCAGGAGTGCTACCAAGCCTGGGCTGACGCATCAGCGTCCCGGGATGTAAACACCAGTGCTCTAAAAAAGAAGTATAATTCCGCCTCTAGGTCCTTCAAAAGAGTCATTGCTAAGGCAAAGTCAGATTACATAGGCAGAAAACGGCGTTCAAAAAACTAGTTCGCCTTCCTTCTGGAACCCGTGCATTCTGGTCTCTCGCCAAGGCTGTCCAGGGGAATTCCTGTCAGCCATCTCTTCCATCTCCGCACAGGGAAGACGACTCACTGGCCCATACCGAAAAGGAGAAAGCCGATCTTCTAGGCTCTTTCTTTGCGTCCAACTCGATGACGTGGGGAGTACGCCGCCGACCATCCCGCGGTGTGAGTACTCCATGTCGGAAGTGCAGTTTACACAGCGCTCGGTTCGCAAAGCACTCCTCTCCCTGGACATCCACAAGTCGAGTGGGCCTGACGGAATCTCCCCAATTGTGCTGAGAACGTGTGCTCCTGAGTTGGTTTTAACGCATCTTTTCCGGTACTCCTACTTCCTAGGCGTAGTCCCGAAATCATGGAAGACGGCTTTCGTCCACCCGATCCCTAAACAAAGCAACCGCTCAGACCCGTCCAACTACCGGCCTATCGCCATCACCTCCTTGTTCTCCAAAACAATGGAGTCCATTGTAAACTGCCAGCTCATGAGGTGCCTTGAGGATCACCAGCTGATTAGTGACCGCCAATACGGTTTTCGCCGTGGTCGGTCAGCTGGTGATCTTCTGGTCTACCTAACTCACAGATGGGCGGAGGCAGTAGAGTCCAAGGGGGGAGGCATTGGCCGTTAGTTTGGACATAACGAAGGCCTTCGATCGGGTTTGGCACAAAGCGCTTCTTTCGAAGCTCCCTTCCTATGGGCTTCCCGAGAAATTGTGCGATTGGATCACCAGCTTTCTTGCAGATCGGATCATCAAGGTCGTTGTAGACGGTGCAAGTTCCAAATGCAAGCCTATTAATGCTGGTGTTCCACAAGGCTGCGTACTATCGCCAACGCTGTTTCTTCTGCATATCAATGATATGTTGCAAACCCGTAACATTCATTACTATGCAGATGACAGCACTGGTGATGCTCTTTACACCGGCCGAGCCAATATTTATCGGGAAAATGTCCCCGAGTGCCGGGACAAACTTGTGTTTGAAATCGAGTCTTTGCTGAACAGAGTCTCGGATTGGGGGCGACTAAATCTAGTCCAGTTTAACCCCCAGAAGACACAAGTTTGCGCGTTAACCGCTAAAAAGAACCCCTTTGTCGTATCTCCTCAGTTTCAAGGCACTCCCCTTGTTGCCTCAGTCAGTATCGGAAGCCTCGGCGTCAGCATATCGAGTGACGTGCAGTTTCGTGCTCACTTGGAAGAGAAGGCCAAATTAGCCTCTAAAAAGCTTGGCGTGCTCAGCAGAGCGGGACAGTATTTCATGCCGGCACACCACCTGCAACTTTACAAGTCGCAGGTTCGGCCGCAAATGGAATACTGTTCCCATCTCTGGGCTGGGGCTCCCCAATACTAGCTCCTTCCACTTGATCGCATCCAGCACAGAGCGGCTCGAATCGTCGACGACCGAGTGCTTTTCGATCGGCTCGATTCACTGGCGCTGCGAAGAGATGTTGCATCTCTTTGCATTTTCTTTCGCATATACCATGGACAGTGCTCTGAGGAATTGTTCGGATTAATCCCAGCCGCCAAATTTCGCGAACGCATTAGGCGGCAAACGTCCCGATACCACCCACACCATCTGGATGCTTGACGGTTCACCACTGTACGTTTCAAAAGGAGTTTTCTTCCGCGTACAACCTCTCTGTGGAATAGTTTACCACCGGCGATTTTTCCGGACCGATACGACCTGGGGACCTTCAAGAAAAGAGCTTACTCCTTTCTAAAGGGCCGGCAACGCACCTGCAATTCCCCTGGTGTTGCGGTTGATCATGGGCGGCGGTAGTCACTTAACAACAGGTGAGCCGCATGCTCGTTTGCCCCCTCTTCTATAAAAAAAGCATCGGAATCCTTAGTGTCGACATTTTGAGAGACGTACAATACCATATTTAACGGAGAGCGGCACGAATCATCGGCGACTAAATTGTTTACGATCGGCTTGATAAACTAGCTTTGCGAAGGGATGTTGAATTTCTATGTATCTTCCACTGCATATACCGTGGGGAATGCTAATAGGAATTGTTTCCGCCATATAGCCTTTAGGACGTTCCGCCACTAGTTCTGAGAGAAATCCTGGCGTTGTGCAAAACGCTGTGAGGAAATGCTTGTTTCCCGACTTCA